TTCTTTTTGTTCTAGTTAGTTTTAGTTAGATAATAATCCCCCTTGGTTTTTCTTTTTGCATCGGTTCTTTTTCAGGGGATGTAACTTGAACCGGGTAAACTTTTTTATTTTTAGGATTGGATTTTTTTTTGAATAGTAAAAGAGGGAGAAGAAAAAGCTTTGTGACTTGTTTGATACTAGCATATTCAGGCCTGAGCTTGAGTAGTACTTTCCTCTGAGTGCTTGAGTAATGAATAAAATAGCAGACTTTCTGACATCTAAGCTCATGGTTGTGACTCTGTATATAGCTTATTCTTATTTTGTCGTTCGCGATGATCCTGCCTGTCTTAGAGTAGAATTGATCCATCTTGATTGATACGTGTGCTATGTGTAGTGAGGATTTCTTACATATATTCCATGTTTTGCATCTTAGTCTAGAACTTGCCCTGCATGTTATTGAAGCAAAATTAAAGTGTTGCTCTGTTTAGAAGATGATAGTAGGCTTTCTTTGATATGTCTTGTGGATTTTAGCCTTTCCAAATATTATACCACTAGATAGACCTTTGAGCCTGTAGCCTTTTGTTGGAAGCCGTATTTTTGCCTTGATCCTTTTGTTGAATCCCTACTTTTTGCACCCTTCTTTCTTGAGAATTGTTGCTTATATCGTGATATTAATTGATAAATTTGAAGAATGAAATGGTTAAGTAAAAAATGATGACCGGTGATGGCTGAAAGGTGATGAAAAGGCCTTCTTGAAAAGAATGTGACATGAAAAAAAATGAAAAAAAAAAGAATGAAGATAACTGGTTTGAAAAAAAAATGAAACGTTCTTGATATGAGGGAAATACTTGTGAAATAATAGATGAAGAGAGGGCTGAAAAATGAAAGTGAAGAGTAGAAAATAATGTGTGATGAAGTCTATAAGTGCAAAGTGCTTAGGGAAGTGTAAGTCACTATTATATAGTTCTCCTACCCGTCCCTTAGCCAACATTACAACCCATTAAAGTCCTATTTGATTCTATTAGAGCATACTTAATTAGTAGAGATGTACATAATGGGCAAGCTTATGGTTCTTTGTGCATACATGTGAATTAATTTGTGAGTGCGAGAGTTGTTCTTTGATGCAAAGTACTTAAATTATATTCATTCTTTGATTTGAGTGTATGGACTATTTATTCTTGTGAGGCACTTGTTTCATGATAGATAGGTGATGTTATTAGCTTCTTTGACAGAGTAGGTGAGCGAGCTTAAATTTGGTAAGTTAGAGTCCGTCTCTAAGGTTAGGAGGTTAGAAGTTTGTTGTTTGTTTGTAACTTGTATATCTTGCACGATGATGAGGAAGTGTATATCTGATGGTTTGAGTTGCTATAGGGCCTCATTATTAGTATCAACCGAAGTGGTACTACAGGGTGGTGCCAAGGAGTTTTCTATTGGCAAGGATGGTTTTTTGTGACTCCAGGGTCTCCTATGTGTTCCTAACATTGATGGCTTGAGGGAAAGGATTCTAGAGGAAGCACACAGTTCTCGGTATTCTATTCATCCAGGTGCTACAAAGATGTATCGTTACCTGAGGCAGCATTATTGGTGGCGACGAATGAAGAAAGACATAGTGGAGTATGTAGCTAGGTGTCTAAAATGCCAGTAGGTCAAGTATGAGCACCAGAGGCTAGGTGGCCTACTTTAGCAGATGACTATACTTGAGTGGAAATGGGAGCGCATCACTATAGACTTTGTGGTTGGATTGCCGCGGACCTTGCGGAAGTTCGATGCAGTTTGGATCATTGTTGACAGGTTGACCAAGTCAGCACATTCATTCCAGTTGCGACTACATATACTTCAGAGAAGTTGGCCCAGATTTATATTCGGGAGATAGTTCGGTTGCAGTGTGCCTGTTTCCATCATATCAGATAGAGGCCCTCAGTTCACTTCACATTTCTGGAGAGTCGTACAGAGTGAGTTGGGGACCCGTGTAGAGCTCAGCACATCATTTCATCCATAGATCGACGGGCAGTCAGAGCGGATGGTTCAGATACCGGAGGACATGCTAAGAGCATGTGTGATTGACTTTGGAGGACTGTGGGATCAGTTGTTGCCTTTGGCCGAGTTTGCTTACAATAACAGTTACCAGTCCAGCATCGAGATGGCTCCATTTGAGGCTTTATATGGTCGGCGATCTCGTTCTCCTATCGGGTGGTTTGCCCGGCGAGGCTAAGTTATATGGTACGGATTTGGCAAAGGATTCCTTGGAAAAGGTAATGTTGATCCAGGAGCGACATCGTACAGCACAGTCCAGACAGAAGAGCTACGGGAATCAAAAGGCGTGTGATGTATCATTCATGGTCGGCGAGAAGGTTCTCTTAAAAGTCTCGCCGATGAAGGATATTATGAGATTCGAAAAGAAGGGCAAGTTGAGCCCAAGGTTTATAGGCCCCTTTGAGGTGTTGAGGTGAGTTGGGGAGGTGGCTTATAAGCTTGCTTTACCTCCCAGCCTATCAGGGGTTCATCCAGTTTTTCACGTGTCTATGCTCCGGAGATACCACGGCGACTTATCACATGTGCTAGACTTCAGCACTATTCAGCTAGATGAGAGCTAGGGTTATGAGGAGGAGCCAAATGTTATTGTTGCTAGACATGATCGCCAGTTGAGATCCAAGAGGATCTCCGCGGTAAAGGTTCACTAGAGGGACCAACCAGTTGAGGAGGCGACCTGGGAGTTCAAAGAGGACATGCGGAGCAGATATCCACACTTATTCAGCACTTCAGGTATGAATCCAAACCCGTTTGAGGGCGAATGTTTGTTTAAGAGGTGGAGAATGTAACGAACCGACCGGTCGTTTTTCTTTCTAGAACCTTGTTCCTTTAAACAAGACTTCCCGTACTTGCTTTTATTGATTTATGACTTACGGGGATGGTTGGTTCGGGATTTGGAAGAGTTTGGGTTGAAATCGGAACACTTGGTTCCTTAAGGTTGGCTTAAAAGGCCAAGTTTGACTTCAGTCAACATTTTGAGTAAGTGACCTCAGAATTGGGATTTGACGGTTCCAATAGGTTGGTATGATGATTTCAGACTTGGGCGTATGTTTGGAGCGGGTTTTGGACGATCCGGGAGCGTTTCGGCGCCTAATAGTAAAAGTTGGTCTTCTTTATTTTTTATATAAAATATTGAATTTTAATTTTATTTTTAAATTTTCTTTACCTATTTGTACGTGTATAATTATTTTTATAACTATCTTATTATATCCGAGAATTTAGAGGCAAAATTTAGAAGTGATATAATTTTATCTTTCAGAAAAAAGCTTTCTCAATTCAATTTTTTTTATCTTTTATTTCAAATTCATAAGTTTCCATATTAGTTCTATTTTTCATCTTTTACTAATTAGAATTCAATCGTTTTATCCAAATTCGAATTATTAATTTTAATTCAAATTTTCTTATCTTTTAATTTAATAGCTATTGGGTAAATCTTTGTCTTACAACCTTTACATATTTTATTTTATAATTTTTGTCATATGATATTTGGCAGAAAAAGTTCTATTTAGACTATATAAATTAGTTGAATAAATTTTTAATCATGGCTAATACATAATACATAACCAACGGAATACTTATAACGTATCCATTACCTGATAAAATAATTTTTTTCCACACGAAATTTAATATTTTCTTTGTTCTGGTTTACAAATGCAGGTTTTCATTTTTTTTTTGCTTTGGTCATAGATAGACCTCACTCCTACATAAAAGAGCTACGTCTGCCAAGGAAGACTTTGGAGGCAGAAAAGACTAAAGAAAGCATGACAGAGCCGCGAGTTGGAATTAAAATGGAAACAATTTTAATTCCATTAATTATTAAATGGAAAAAAAGGTATGCGTGAGAATGTAAATCAAGATTTGAATTAATTTGTTTCCATTTTACTTTCATTAATTAATCATTTCTTTGTTCTAAGTTTGCCAAGTGGCTTCTCAATAGCTAGCCACTTGGCTTAACCATAATGCAAACTTTATTCCTTTAAAATATATATAGATGATGAAAAACGAAATCCTCAATTTCAAATAAAATGCAATAGATACGGTCATGTCAACTATTGTGATGTATATCATAAGCAGTTGTTTTGAATTTTTTGAACGTTACTCTTGGATTTGGATTTCTAAGTTTATTTCTTTTTTAAACAAGCTACAATAAGATAGCATAACTATCATAAGAAAAAGTCATGAACAAAGGATTACAGGTATTTAAAAGTGTATTTTCCATAAGTTTTTACCTCGCTTGGTAACAACATAATAGAATGCAAGACCACACGAACTTTTCCATTGACTAAATCATTTCAATATATATTCTATACAACTATAAAATTGGCCTAAGCAACACTGTCATTAAAAATTGACAATCCTTTTTTCCTTTTCATGTTTTATATATGCCCATGGTACTAAAGACACTATCAATTTAATTGGGTTAGTTAATGAGAAATTTTACTAATTAATTGTGTATTTGGTACTCATTTTCATGAAAAATGTATTTCTTGGATTAGTGTTTGGTTGGTGAGGGAAAAGTATTTTTTGAAAAAAATATATCAAATCTTAATAATAATATTAGTAATGTTTACTAATTAAGGGTGTATTTGGTATGAAGGAAGTTATTTTTCACAAAAAATATATTTGAGAAAAATATTTTCTAGAGAAAGTATATTAAATATTAATAATAATATTAGCAAATTGAAGGGTATTTATATGAAATTCTGAGTAATATCTACGTATTAGCTAGAGCAAATAATATAAAGTTAAAAGTAAAAATTATTATATGAAAGTAAGTGAAGGAAGCCATTTTTCTCATTTTAATTTGGCAATCAAGCACCAAAACATCAAAACCATTAATGTCGTTTCCTTTTCCTTTTTCTTTTTTCAACTTTCTTTAAAACAAAACATGTCGGAAGAAAATAAGAGCAAATAGTACGACGCCGTATCTCTCGTGCGTCGGCATGCCGCTTTCCAATTCGGTGTACTATTCTGTCCCATATATAAACTTCCTCTTCCTTTCTTATAAAATCACCAATAAGCTCAAACTCAATCAAGTAGGAACATCAATTCAGTAAGAATAAGAATGGCGTCTCTTCCACGTTACCTTTTCATCTCTCTTCTTCTTCTTCATTCCATTCTCTTCTCCATTGTCAAATGTGATGGTAAATTCTTCACCTTTTTATTTTTTTATTTTTTGCTGAATTCTTGATTTTGAGTCAAAGTTACTAGTAATTTTTATTATCACTTGTCCTTCATTATATCTTTATTTGTTTCAATTTTAAGATTTGATTCCTAAATGGGATTTTTTTCCTGCTGTGTGTTGAGCTTGTTCAGTTGAGCTCTATTGTTTCATTTGGGTTAAAGATCTGGATTTGTATTGCTGTTTCATAGTTCACTGAGTAACCCATTTCAAGATTTTGTAATTTGAAAAATTGGGTTTGTTTAGTTTAATTTGATATTCTTTATTTAGCTTGCTAGTTGTAGTACTAAATTTGTTGTGTTCTGATTGTGCACTTAAGTTTTTGGTATACCAATTTATATATGAAAATTTAAGAAGTTCTGAGCTTTTCTTGAGCAAGCGTTAGAATTAAGTTATTGAAGTATATATGTGTGGAGTATATTACCATTTAGGGTTAGATCTGCTAATCAAACTTGATGAATGAGACAGATCTCTGCTTTTATGTTGTCATTCATTAAAATGGTTCTGGAAATCAGTTATTCTTTTCAGATCATTGGCATGTTTTAGTGTACTACGAGGATTTTTTGCGATTTACCTCTAGACTTGTTTAATTATCACTTCTCTAAAATTATTATCACTTGTTTTAGTAATTATCAAGATCTTTACTTGAGCTAAATGAAACTGATAAAAAATAATTTATAACTGACTGACCTGTCCTCTTTAGCATATCAGAATTGGAATGTGAAAAACTGGTGGGAATTGCTGAAATTTTTTGCCTGGTTTTACGGAGAGGTGTTCTGATTGATGGAGATGTTTTATGAGTTGAATTCAAAGCTAATCTTATTTTAGATTGATGACTTTCGATCTTCACTGCTAGTGATTTTCTTCTCAATGAGGAATACTTCCTTATTTTGGAAGTTGCAAAACATACACTACTAAAATGGCATTTGCTCCATTAAGGGAACAATCTTTTGGGTTCAACAACAACCAAGTGGAATCCCGCAAGTTGGGTTTGGGGAGGGTAATGCGTATGTAGATCTTACCCCTACCCTGGGGAGGTAGATAGGTTGTTTCCGAAAGACCCTCGGCTCGAGAGGAAGAATAGATACAATCATTTGGGTTCAACTGATATAGCTTAATCTCTTCACAAGTGATGTGATCTGATCTGTAGGTTCTCGATCTTTAGTGATATACGGGCCATATATACATCAGTCAGTTTTTTTATCGGAGGTTCTTTCTTTTTCTTTTTTTTCCTTTGATAACCGAGAAATCCCCGGGATGTATGGTTTTTAACCGAGATACCAGAACTTTTTCGAAATTCAGGGTTTTAAGCCAGTTGTGCTCATTATATTTATCAAACATATGCTTAGATCACGGTAGATCATTTTTACCAATCTTCTACCATTTTCCACTAAAGGAAAGACATAGTTATTTGAGAAATTCATTTGACCAATATACACTTTTACTAACCAGTATCTCAAGCAAGCCAACTCCAAACTTCCTCGGACTTAGGGGGCCGGAGTCCCGCTTTGTAACATTTTATGAACATCTTATCAATTTGTGATTCACTTCTACGCCATATTATGAGTGCAGTTTAGATATCCGTTAGAATTTATACCTCCTTAGAACCTACTTGTTAATCTTTTATATGGTTTATTATCTGCACTTTGGAGTTTCATCTTTGACACTTTGGTGCAGACGAGGAAGACAACCTTCTTCGAGGTATTAACAGCTACAGGGCATCCCTAAATCTGACAGCTCTACGCGAGAATGACAAAGCAAAGTGCCTTGCCGATGAAATGGCTGACCAGTTTAAAGACCAACCATGTACAAATACAACAGGTGCCAATACTGTACCTGGCACCGAACCTCAGTTCTCTGACTATCCTAAACTCCTTTCTAAATGCGACTTGAACGCCACAACCACAAGGGACGGAATGATAATGCCAGCTTGCGTTCCCAACCTTGTCTCTGACCTCGTTCTTTCCAACTACACGAAGTCTCAGTACTCTAAGTATCTCAATGATACCAAGTTTAGTGGTGTTGGAATTGGTTCCGATGATAACTGGGTAGTTGTAGTTTTGACCACAAACAACCCAGAGGGAAGCTTTACGCCCGATACGAGTTCAGCAAACCTAATCTTTGGGCTTGGTCTAATATCTCATGCAGTGTTTATAGTTGTGGCATTTGTCCTCTTACTGTGAAAATGTTGAACCTTTACACACATTGTTTTTTCCCTTCCTGGGTACCTGATTTTGTTGTTTGTAAGTGATTTCTTAATTGTGATATTCTAATTGAAAGAGGAAGATTATCAGCTATTATTCATTTATTCCTGTGAGAATGTACCTTAAAAGCTGTGCCACAAACACATTCCCTTGTCTCAGTTATTTTCTTGTATTGTACTTTGAAATGTTGCACCTTTCATTCTCTATGACTTCTTACATATGATTATTTTTGGTAGAATTCTTAGTCTTGAGGCTTTACAAATCTAAAAGTTAGACCAATTGGGTATCCATTGGTTATTTATTTTCTAAATAGATAATATGGTTCTTCCGTTTTTAAAAAATTCATTATTCAACCCATTTTTTAATGGATAATATGTGTGGTTAACTGTTTTCTTTAATCATTTTGCCACCTCTAGATGAAAATATTGATAAAGCAACCGTATTAATTTTTTCAAGGAAACACTACCTTGATTATAAGTACTGTATGTATTAAATGGAAGAAATGGGTTACAAAATCGTATAATTCGAAGGAAACAGATGAATCTAATTCTGAGATTAAGCAGGTGGCAGTGAACATAAGATCTTGTTCGTGTTGAGTACTTCAGGAAAAAAAAACCTTGCTAAGAAAACCGAATATCTGAGTTTCATACAATTTTCATGTATATGTACTCATCAACTTGTTCCACGGCATCTAATGAACAAAATAATTGAAATATGACTAATGACTATGTACAAGATCAACTACTGGAACGCTGAAATTGTTAGAGAAAATAAAACAAAATTGAAAGAAGAAAGGTTGACCGTTGTCCTTTAACAGATATTGCTTGTATAATGTTTGGGGAAATACAGTCAAGTCAAACAAAGCCCAAGTACACTACTCCCTCCGTTACGTTTAGGTGAACCTATTTCCTATTTGGTCCGTTCCAAAAAGAATGATCCTTTCTAAATTTGGAAATAATTTAGCTTAAACTTCCAACTATACCCTTAATGAGAAACTTTTACAGTCACACAAATACTCTGGAAAACTTTTTCACTTGCTTAGGACCACATATTTCAAAAGCCTTCATTTTTTCTTAAACTCCGTACATAGTCAAACATGTTCACATAAATTAGAACGGAGGAATTACAAATTATAACATGCAAATCTAGTCAAGAAGCTACGCGTTTATCTGAACCTAGTAATTTTGGCTTAAGACTTGTGCTGAAAAATTCAATAAATAAGTACAAATAATAAGTTCGAATCCACTAAATTTAGATAGAACGTCATAGAGTACCAATGCATTAAGTTGAAATCTTCGGAAAATTCCTTATTGTTTGACAGTTACCAGCCTCGAACTCTTGACCTCTCAACCACTATGAACAAGGATGGCTCAACTTCAATAGTTTATAGAACATGAGAAATGTCAGAAAAATCATTCACTTGTCAATCATGATGATTCTGATAACTCCTCTGAGGATTCATCTCTCTCCTATAAGCTTTAAATAGATCAAATCCTAAAAAAACATTAAGCAAATTCATCCCAGCCATACCAAAAAGTGCAAGAGGAAGCTCCACACCACCCTTTTCAAACTTAGAACCATCTCTAATCAGTTTCACAGTGATGAGAACATGACATCCAACTCTTGCTACAACAAAACTCGTCAAATTAAGAACCCATTCTACCTTCACAAAATTACTTGTCGAATCACGAAAACCAGCCATTCGCCGCACTTTACGCAGATGCAGAAAAACAGAATGCAGCTCACAAATTAGAGTCAGAATAAGGTAATTAATCGTGACATTTCGGTACAAGGCAAGTGTGAAGCAGACAAGTAGCAACAAATGATGCACTAAAATCGAAGGGCTAGTATATAGGTTATACAGAAGCATATCTAATTGGTCATAAGCAAAATAACCACACGAAAAGCACAAAGCTGTATACGCCCCCGGCCACGTGTGCTCAACAAGCTGTGAGTGCTCAAACATCTTATTATTTACGTCACTTGATGATGTCATAACTATCCATTGATTGGCTAGAATGAAGAGTACTGAAGCTGAAGTAGTGGAAGAGTGGAGGAGAGATACAGAGGTGTTAACGAAGAGTGGATTATTACCAGAGGATGGAAAATTGCGGATGACCCAATTGGCTGATTGGTAGAATATGAAGCCCGCAACGATTGGAAGCAGTTCGGTGCGGTTGTTGAATAGTATGAAGAATAATACTAAGACAACCCACATGACCAGTGTGACCATGAAAAATGCCCCAATTCCCCTCGCCATTTCTAGATCTCAAAATTTGTTTCTTTACTTAACCTCTCTATCTTTAAGTGTTATCATTAGAATTACAGAGGCGTGGAGAGATGAGGATCATCAATTTCTTTCCATTTGGGAGTTGTAAGGCTTTTGGAACCCATATCTGTCTGTAATTGGGTCTAGGAAGGTAAGGTTGGGTCAGAGTCTCTAATAGGCTTCTTTAGCCTTGTCTCAATCCCCCCTCCCCGACCCCCCCCCCCCCCCAAAAGAAAAAAAATATTTTTTCCTTCCTATACCATATATGAAACTTTATTACCAAATATGTGCATAGTTTTTAATTTACCCGCCATGTTCACACTTTTTCTACAATTATTATACCATTCATTAAATACTAATTATTAGTAGCTGAATCTTCCTAATTAGGCGCGCTACAAATCAGGAACAGAATATTCTAATTGATTTAGCGACCTTCAGATCAAATTTGATACGAAAATCCTTTATCTTCAATTTAAAATGAAATTACATAGACTCTTTTCTGCAAAAAACTCTGTTCTTCGATATTTTTCCTTAAGCCACAAATCAAAAAAGACAAGATCGTCAACAAATTCGAATCAAATTGTAGAAATCAGTTCTGCAAAAGCTCAGTTCGTCGACTTTTTTCCTCAATCCACTGATCAAAAAAGCGACAAAATATTCAACAAATTCAAGTCAAATTGTAGAAATCAATTCTGTCGATACTCTGTTCTTCGTCTTTTTTTCTTCATCCAAAAAATCAAAAAAGCGACAAAATATTGAACAATACCTCAGCAACGACACACAATCATGTCCAAAATCCCAATCATGCTACAATTAAATGGGAATTGGGATAGCTATGGCAGATTTAGAGATTTTCAAGTTGATGGCATTGTGCTCGATGAGGATGCAAGTTATAGTATATTGATTTCTACAATTGCAGAGCAATTAATGATTGATACTTCGGAAAAAATTGTAGAAATCAAATACATTGTGAATGAGAATTGTCCTCCAATGGAGATTAAGAACGATATGGGGGTTCGTGTGTATATGGAGACAAAAAAGGAGAAAAAAAACTTAGGATCGTATCCGTTATTTATAAGTGTACGAGATTTCAATATGGAATTGACTATTACCAATGAGAACACAAGTGCAGGTTTGTTATGTTTCAAATTCTATGGAAGTCTGATTTTACGGTAATATCTATAAAATTCCTACATTTATCTACAAATAAACTACACATCAGTTTTAGGATGTATAAAGCAATATTGTTTTCATGATTATCTACATAACTACTACATTTATACTACAATTAAACTACAATCTATGTGGAAAAAAATGTTGACTACAAAATTTTTCTCTTCATCTACAATTTATCTACAAAATTGTAATGACACTGTTTATCTTTATTTGCATGCAGGTTCGTCTGGGACAATAAAGTTACTTGATATACCAGCCTCTTCCGTCATAGAGGAATATCAAAGTGAAATAATAACTGAAGGTACACAAAGTGTTATCGAAGAAGGACAAGTGTATCAAGACAAGCAAACAATTGCAACTGCAATGAAGCACTTTTTCTGTCATGCACAAGTACCAATTCAGGGTTAAAAGATCTAGCCATAGAAGGTATGAAGATATTAATGGTGAAAAGATCATTATAAACAGTATTTTCCTTGTAATATGTGTTTTTCAAACATTGTAGATGAAAAGTAGTTATATTATATAGTGTGTTACTTTATGTTAAAACAGTCCTTTTGTTACATTACATTGATAACCTGTATTATAAATGTATTTTTTTTGTAGCTACTGACTTATATGCGTTGGAGAAAACTGTAATTGGCGCTTCAAGGCAACATCAATTAATGATTCTGCAATGTTCAAGATCAGGAGTTTCAACCGACAACACACATGTACCTTAATGGACGATACATTCATACAGCACAAACGTACTGCAGTTGTAGTTGATAGCATGGTCATTCCAAAGTATTGTGATCCTAAGACAGTTTACACACCAAAGGACATACAAACTGACATGTTGTCCCAACACGGAGTGAACCTAAGCAACATGCAAGCATGGAGAGCAAAGGAAAAGGTTTTACAGTTTTTGAGAGGTCATCCGGCTGACTCCTACAGCAAATTACCAAAATATTTTTATATTCTTGAGAAGACGTATCCTGGTTCAGTTGTTAAATTGAAGAAGACAGCAGATGAATGCTTCTTATATGTATTTGTTGCTCTTTGTACATCAATAAGTGGTTGGGAATATTGTAGACCAGTAGTAGTAGTTGATGGGACATTCTTAAAGTCAGCCTATAGGGGGATTATGCTGACAACAAGCACAATGGATGCAGCAGGTAAAATTGTAGTTATTTTGTAGTTATTTTGTAGGCAGTTTATAAATTGTAGATACTTTGTAGATATATTGTAGTTTATATGTATTTGTGTTTTTATATGCATTTTCAAAGCTGCCAGTTAATTATTTTTTGACTAACAATGTAGGTACAATATTTCCTTTGGCATATGTTGTGGTTGACTCGGAAAACGACGCATCGTGGAAGTGGTTTTTTGAGCAATTCAAGCAAGCATATAGTGAAAGAACTTCAATGTGTGTTGTTTCAGATAGGAATGCGAGTATCTTGAAGGCAACATCAATTGTCTATCCGGGCGTGCCACACTACTCTTGCATGTGGCATATTTGGACTAATATAAGGGCAAAGTTCAAGAAGGCTCATCTACAATTAAATGAATTGTACTTTGCTACAGCACGGTCATACACTCTGGATGAATTTAATGAAAGGATGTCGAAGATTGAAGAGATAGACCCGCGTGTTAAATCATACCTCTATGATATTGGCTATCATAGATGGTCAAGAGTACATGCAACGGTGAATAGAACTTGGACTATGACATCAAACATTGCAGAGTCGTTGAATGCTGTAACAAAAGATACAAGAGAGTTGCCAATATTTGACCTATTAGAGTATATGAGGACACTTCTTGAACGTTGGACGAACGAGAAGTTAGGCAAAGGGTACTTTCACATTCCTTGGGTCCAAATTCAACAAAGAATTGGAGAACAACAGAACATTATCTCAGAAACTTAGGGTAAGATCTGTTTATTTGGTGCAGAAAAATAATATTTTAATATACAGTGTTTCTAGATTGTAGATAAATTATAGACAAATTGTAGTTAATTTGTAGATTGTAGATAATTTGTAGATAATCTATTTTTATAATTGTAAATATTTTTCTTTCTATTTGTTATGTAATTGTAGGTGAGGGCTTCAACAGATCATATCCATACTGTGATAGATGGTGTGAAGCGGTACATTGTGTGTCTTGAAAGCAAGAAATGTAGCTGTGGCCAGTTCCAACTTGATGAACTTCCATGTGCGCATGCTTTAGCAGCTTTAAGGCACAGGAATGAAACTTATGAAAACTATTGCTCTCCATATTACACAAAGGAGAGCCTACTGCGTACTTATGAAATACCAGTAAATCCCCTTCCTGATGAAAGCAAATGGAATGTGCCACAACATATATCTGATGAAGTAGTAAATCCACCTACGGGAGAGAAAAGGCAGCCAGGAAGACCTCAAAAGGAAAGATACAAAACATATGACGAACTAAAGTCAAAGAAGTACAAGGTGTCATGTGGCAACTGTGGAGGTGAAGGGCATAACAAAAGATCTTGCAAGAATGCGCCCAAAAAAAAAAATATCATGTAGTTAGAATAGTATTTCAAGTTAACAGAATTTTGTGTGTAATCGTTTAAGTTTTTAAAGATCATAATGTAGTTAATTTCAATTTGTTTCTGTGTTTGTTAACATGTTTTTCTGTATTGTGTCAAGTATCTACCTCCATTTTTGACATTCTGTACATAGCAGTTAATATTTATTATCTACAATATAGCTACAAGTTAAAAAAATTAATTTAACTTGAACTGACAGTTATATACAGAAATTAAATACAACTGGAGGTATTCCCTACAAATTATTTACATATTCAACTATAAAATTATATACAATCTCAACATTTAGTGTTTCCAGATTGTAGATAATTTGAAGTTTTTTTGTAGATAATTTGTATTCTAACAACATAATAACTATGTTTAAGATAATGAAGAACAAGTGCTGTAAATATTAAACAACTGGAGATAAAAACCACCAAGTTATTTTCAAGTGAACTACTAAACTGGATAGAAATTAACAAAACAAAAGGTATGCTACAATAAAAACACAAATGAATTGTTCAGAAAGTTGTGTACTATACTTCTCCTACAAACTAGCATTAACTAAATTACATATACATGACACTACTTCTTCTTTCTCTGGACTCTTGTTTTTTCATTCAATGCAGGTGCACCCTTCCCCCTTGCTAGTCTGCATGTATCCTCACTTTCACTGATTGACCCATCTTCCTGCTTCTTTGTAGCATAGTCCTATAGGAGCGCTCCATAGCGTCTACGATGTTGCTCAATATCAGAAAGGTCTTCTGCGGGAATTGACAAATCTCCAAGGCTAACATACTCCGCAAAGGCAGCAACAAATACACCACAATCGCTGCAGAACAAAAAATTTAAAAAATATTTACCAAATGATTAGAAATAAAAAAAAGAATTAAATGCATAGAAAGAGAGAATAGATTTTTTACAGTGACCCTTCTTTTTGCTGTGGAATCTCTCCAACGATCCACTGAATGTTAAGAGGGTCGGTAACAGGTTTCTCGATGTATGCCTTTGTATTCTTGAAGTTAATGTCTTTACGCTTCCCATAGAAACCAGTGCATGACAAATACAAAGGGATAGTAACAGAAAACTTTTCGACACGGGATTCAACAACTTGATGGTTGTGTGAAGAGACCATGGAATCATACGGATAAAGTTGCCTGTCTGCAATGTCGAAAACAACCAACACCCAATGAAATTTTTCTACAATATTGACGGGCATGATCACATAGTCAACTTCATCCCATGCAACATTGGCAAGTAGTCTATACCCCAAAATATATTCTGCAACAACGTCTTGGGGTTTAACAACCGAATACTTCTTTTCTGGAGGTGAATTTATGAACTTTTCATAAATTTGTTCTATCCTGGTCTTGAACAAACAATCCGTTGTGGTAAACCTGGTCTTGTTATTGGGGCCATACTTGCCTCTTTTCCTCAAGTAATACATTAAAACATCAATGTGCTGCAACCAAAAATAGTTGGCATATAAACAGCAAGTTAACTTCAAATAATCTACATAAAACTACATTATAACTACAATTAACTACAAAACAGAAACAAAAAATCTACAATGATGTCTAAAAACAGCTCTACAATTTAAACTACAAAGTCAACTTCAAATAATCTAAAAATAACTACAATTTATCTACAGTTACTGGGCAAACATGTAACACAGCATCTACAATCATGTCTACATTATATCTACATTTTATACTACAATTAATCTTGTAATGTTCTACATAAACTACAAAATAACTACAATTACACTACAAACAGGAAATACAGCAACAAACTATTCTGTCCACAAAATATATATAGAATTTATACTATAAATAATCTTCAAATATGATACATAATCTGAAACCTAAATACAATTACACTACATACAAGAAAGACAACATTTACAATCATGTCTACTTCATATCTACAATTTATACTACAAGTCATCTTCATATATTATAGATATCTATAACATAAATACAATTAAACTACAAAACAAAAGACAAAATATCTACAAATCATATCTTGGGAATAGACTCCTTGATACTTACCAAGTCATTGAGGACTTGTCCGGGGTGAGCCAGGGAAAAGAACCATTCCTTCTTATCAACCTTTTCCACTCCAAGGTCTAACCAAGGCTTAATTTGGTTATCCTTTATGGATAACGGAGCCTTCCTCCTGTAACAACAAATAAATGTCAAAAAAAATTGTAGATTGAATTAGATATATAAAAGATAAATGCTGAAATGCAAGTGTCAAATTATGCATTCATACCTCTTTGAACCTTTGTCGCTACAGTGGTATAACCACTTGTTGAAGTTATCTAAAACCTCCGGATCTACATCTTCACCAATAACAGTAGTAAAAGGGTGCTTGAGGTAGAAAATTTTAGGTCCAACCGAGCTGCTGCCCCCAGAACTGTATAGAGGGATAAATGGTGATCGTGCATGCTTTCCCAGATGCCTTGTTCTCCCCGGATGCATAGGTGTTGCATCATCTTGTATGGGCTCACCAAACTTAACCAACTGGGATAAGTTGTCAGGAAACTCAAAATCATCTAGTGTGACTCCCTTCTTCTCAACTCCCGATCCTTCTGAATCACCTTGATCCACATACTGTGCATCTGCACCTTCATTGTCATGTTCCTCAATGACCTGTTCTGTCTGAGCTGCTACTGTCACTCCGTGAATTGGGGACTGTGCATTGATATCTTCCATCACTGTAACACAATTCATATCTTACTTAACAAGAATGTTAAAATTTATAAACAACAAGAAAATATCTCTGAATGACAGTATGATGCCTGCTTTGTCTTCATCAGCTGCAACTTGAAAATGTGTATATAAATCACCATGTGCTGGAAGATTTTCTTGACCAACTGCACCTTCAACATGTTCTGTTTTATAATTAAAAATGGTAAATAATACTTGATGTTCTAAACGTCAATACCACACAAGAGGGGGGGGGGGTAATTTGTGTGGTACCCAATTTTCGATCTAGAAGAACTAGGTTCTTCTAAGTGATCTAACTACTACTGTTTGCGGAATTAAAAGTACATAAAATAAAGAACACAGAGATTTTTATGTGGAAAACACCTAGCTCAAAAGGTAAAAAAACCACGACCTACTACTCAGTAGGATTTTCCAAACTTCCACTAAAATCACTGAGCCAAAACAGCATTTCAAAAACTCTTTGTAAACCTAAGGATTAACTCTAATCCCTTTGTAGCACACAGCCTCAACTGTTGCGACAACTTCAAGTTAGCCTATAACTTGAATACTCAAAGTACCTATTACAATTGCTTCTATAAAAGCTGAAAGATACAATTTTAATCCACCTACTACAATTGAACTAGAAATAAAGAAAGACGCATAAAACTCTTTATGGAGCTGGTTCTTCAATCTTGTTCAAGTAGCTTCAGGAGTGCACACTTAAATCTCACATAAATTGCTTGCAAAATCGCCTTGCTCTTTTGCTCTCAATTTAGTTTAACTTCTGCGTATGTGCAATACCTGTAAAAGAGAAAAATCATTGTTATTTAATGAGTTAGTAATTAGAGTTTGATTGAGACTCAATTGTTGATCTTCCATCGAAGTTGAGTCCTTGAACAACACAAACTCCAACCCTATCTTTTATCCGGATTGTATTCTCTTCTCATAAGGAGACCTTCTCTCCTTATCCCATATGCAAACTTTTCGATCAGTTCATGAGATATTGCTGCTTGATCAATGGGACTTATCTCCGTCACGTGCATCTCACATGTATAGGTTGACAAACACTGTGCTTCACATGATGGACCTGGTCCATGACTGAGTTCATTTGTCATTCTTCAAAACTTCACCTATTCTTGGGCCAACAAATTCCCCCTTTTTGATGATGACAAACTCTGTGCTTTTTACTGATCAAAGAACCAGTAAGAACTCAGCTTAACCATCAACACTTAGCTTAGAAATTTTACTTATCATCAAGGACCAGGTTAATTAGGTTATAAATATCACTTAATTCAGAATAATGAGTAAAGCACAATATATCTCTTCCCCCTTTTGGCATCATCGAAAAGTTGCATACACAGTGTGAATCCTAGATTTTAATAAGTACTCATGGCCACTGGGGCAACTGCAAGTGAAATCATTGTGCAATTATCAATAATCAACAAACATATTTAAACTATTAAGATCAGAATCATCATTGAACAAGAGAAAACAATAGTTGTCATTGATAAAGATATGGTTCCACAAACAGTCCACAAAAAGAAAGAAAAACTTCTAAAACATGAGCAAAAAACAGAAACATCCCTAATCCGGGTCACTGGGTTCACTATGGGTACTAGACTGGTTCAGAAGACAAGTGCTGGGAGACCTAGGGCTTGGAGGAACTAGAGGGTTGAGACTGGAGAAGGTTTAGCATATTCTGAAGCATTCCATCACTCTTCTCCTTTTCTTTTGCTAGCTCAGTTCTAAGGCTATCTCTCTCAGATTCCAACTCAGCTACTCGAGCCTTGAGCCTAGCAATTTCATCATCCTTAGTTCCACATTCCTGCACCAAAGCCCTGACCTTGCTGTTTATGGGTGTCCTCAGAGATGAACCAGATTCAACTGGGATGGCATTGACTGGATAGTCACAAGCCAGCAGGGTCTTAACACCAAAATGCTCCTTGCTTGATGCCATTTCCCATTTCTTCAAAGGCACATTTAGCCTGTCCAGCACAGTAGTCAATATGAACCCATATGGAGTGGCATGAGCCTTAGAGCCATTGATGACCCTGTCGAGCAATTTGACAATGAAAGCAGGCCAGTTGATTTTCATTCCTCACACCAAGCACTCCATAAGAACCAGGTCCATGTAATTTGTAGTGTGCCTTCTGTCCTGTCTGGGAAAGAGGCACTTGTTGACAAATTCAAACAAGACCTTGTGCTCAGGCCTCATTTCACTTTTCTGCACAAATCTGGCTTCAGGCACATCTCTAGAGTCACAGAACCTCCTAGTGATTTCAAGAGCAGTAGGGAGAGAATCCAGACATGGCCACCTTTGCCTTGTATAGTCATCATACCCTTCAGTAGGTATGTCCAGGATCTCACCCAGTTTGACTGCATCAAACTTCACTTTGACTCCTTTCACCAGGCTGGTGACTACTCCATCCTTCACAGCAGCATTGGCCATAAATTCAATCAATTCATTCCTGGCCAGCCTCCCATCCATTTCAAGGACCATGTCCTTCCAACCTTGTGCAGCTAAAGCATCCACTAGTCTCATCATCCCTGGTTCTTCCAGGTCCTTCAGCAATCTACCTTTCAAGATTTTTCTCCTGCCAAAAATGGCAAACTTATCCTGCTCCTTCTCAGATTCCTCTTCTTCTTCTTCTCCACTCCACTGTTCATCTTCTTCAGTAATTTTCTTTTGCTTGCCTTTCATTGCAGATCTTGTGGGTTAGACATAGTTGATTGTTTCTTGAGAGAATTTGGGAATTTCTGGAGAAGAGAAGCGATTAGAACTAGAGAAATATTTTTGACGATTTTGGAATAGTGAAGAAGATTAGATATGTGGTGTGTATTTAAAGGCAATTTGACATTAATGTAGCAACGACAGCTTTTCAGGGGTCAATTAGAAGTTATCAAGGTGTAATTCCAGGCTTTTAATGATTATTTTGGCTTCCCTAGATATTAGGCAAAAATCACGATTTTAGAGTTCTAAAAGGACGAAACTGGTTCA